AGACGTGGCAAAAAATCCTCACAGAACGACGATGTCGCTCTCTCTGTTATTGTAAATAAGTGATAATGTAGTTCTTCGATTTCACAATGATACTGGAGCCAAACAGTATCAGGAAAGTGAATTAATAGGAGAAAGCCTCCAAGGACATGCCGTGCTTACTTTCGTTACGTGATACCAATATTTCATGAACCATCCAAAGTTTACCTGACTCACAAGAAGGTATAATTCAACATGAAATTGAGGTGTCTAATTAAATAACAATTTCTTCGATGTAAAACGCACAGGCAATTGATGGCTGATGACAAAATTGCAAATAGTTTTGCAGTTTGAATTACATGATTGCTCCTTGCATCGTTACTTGATGTAGATTTATAGTCCAGTCTCAATAGATTTTATGATGATGATGATGGCACAAATAATACAATTGAAAGCGTTTACGAAGAAGTGATTTCGTATGAGTCAGTCAGTATTCATTTTCCCTATTCTTGACATCATTAGACAATTGAGTAGGAGTAAGATTTTTGTTAATTCCAAAAAGAACTTATTTCATTTTCGGCTTAATTTTAATTCACGTTTTTATTTTAAACCCTCAACACATCAACATGTAAGCATAAACTATATCAAACTTCAATAAATTATGATAATGTTTTGGTAAAGTTTCTGTTTTGAAAATAAACATGGTTTTATTAATAACCCAACGTTATTTTAAACCAAAGTGTTTTACCATTTTAATAGTAGGTAATATGAATATCTATTCCCATGTGTGTAACTTGTTTACTCAAAAATATTTTTAACTTGGGGGTAGTAATAATTAGAAGCATATGAGACGTTTGAGTTATTCAAGTCATATAACTCCAGTAATTATATCTGAAATAGAATTTCCATTTGGGCATTATGTTGCCCTTCTACAGTTATCAGTAGTCAAGTATAGAACACGATGGGTCAAATATCAATTGCTGTATTACTTTGACCTTTCCATTCAGTTCTTTGATTGATGTGGGCCCTTTTTTAACGGCTCTTTGATCGTGCCTTTGTTCGGTATCTAATATTAAAATGAACAGACATTGAACGACATTCTAAATATTTAAATTTCAAGTTCACTCCAAATTAATCAGTTTCAGTTTGTCAATTTATCTAGAACTTAATGAAATCTCGTTACAAATGCAAATACTGTATCGCCACGGCTGTTGAAGAATCTTGTGATGCCGTTATTACGGTACGTTATTAAATGATACATTTTAGAAAGTTTTTTCTGTGACAATTTCTTATATAACATCCGAGAGGTCACACACTTACCACAAAGTTCAATAGAGAATAATAAACTAATACTTATACATTAGTAAAATTGCTGTAATTTATTTCTTTATGTAACTGCAATAAAACTGTGTTACATAACGAATGATTTTTGATCTAATGTAGAATATTTAAGGCATACTATCAATATTTTGGTGTAGGTGTTTAGAAAATCTGAACATGTCCTAAACTAAATTAAAGATGATGTGGTCTGAATTTTAATTGCCGTCAAACCAAATTCATTCGTACCTACTATGTTGACTCATAGCTTATACAATTCATCAATTTAAAATTCAATTTCTTGAGCGGTTGAGTGTACAGTGAAAAAGTTTTGCCTAGATAGGTGATTACTAACTTCGCCCTCATCCTTAATTTTCATCAGTTACGTCAAAATACAAACGCTTATTCCAATACAGAAAAAAAAAACAAATGCCTACATACGTCATACATTTAAGTCAAATCATGTGTTTGTTATTGCTATTTTCTTAACAATTCTCGCAACACCACATATCTGTGTCGCGTACTATTTATACGACGCCAGACTTAATCACCATCCATTACCTACGTGTTCAACTCACATCGCATTCAAATGAGCTGATGGTGTTACAAATCACGTGTTCAATCACAATGTTACGTGGTGTATCGCTGTATCCGCTGTAAATGCTTCCAGACTTAGAAAACTTAAGACAATCTAAATACCTTAACACATATCCTTAGGAATTTACAACGGTTTAAAACTGGAACATTATACATTAGATTAGCCCATTAGATACTACTGAATTATCGCTACAGCTGCGTTCTTTAACATAAAAAAAAATAGCCACTTAATTATTTTCCATTCGTAGTAAAGAAACCTACAAAGTTTTGGTGTTAAAAGTACAAACGTAAATTCAATAATTAGTGGGTACAGTGCTAACAAAAAGATAGGTACTGGTGAAAGGATTGGGATATCTATGGTGAAAGCTAATTATATTTAATAGTGAGATAATTCAAATATATAACAAGCAATAAAAGTTATAATAGACAGAGTAAAATATGTTATTTCTAAGAGAATTCGTTTTGGGTTTTGTTTTAATAACATCTTAGGTAGTTAAGCAGTTTTTTTTATATGTTGATAGGCAAACGATTTCTAACGATGTACGTCTGCAATTGAATTCGCTTTAAAGTGAAAACACTGATATTTTGAACTGGTTTTTACGTGATACGTGAAATTTTACCATAGTCATTACTGTATTTGACCATGTTATATTTCTGAAATTTAACATATCAGTTTTGACAAAACTTAAAGGGCTACGATGGCTTATCTTTACACGATATCTGAGGCTTGACAAAGTGAAGTTTTACCGCACATGGGAGCTTCTGGCTGTTTCCTCCTCATAGGTTTAGTCACCTGCTACATATTGTAGTGTAAAACCTGTCTAGACGAAATTAATTTACAAGTACGAATGTGAGTACATATGAAATACATAATTCTTACTAAGGTTATTGCCAATCTTGGTATATTTTAAAGGATTGAGAGAGTAACTCTAGGAAGGGCCAATGAGTTTGGAAGTCATGATGTCTTCTCCAATTGCTTAAACGAAGTCCTGTATAATATTCGCGATAACAATAATATCTTCCTACCTTATTGATGTATTGTTAGTTATAACTTTGAACTTAAGTATTTAATTAAGTATTTACTTCTTTCTAGGTCTAAGCTAAAATGCCATGGGTACATTGAAATCGACCTCACTAAAATACATATGTAATTTTAATATATTTTATAAAGCGTTATAATTGCGTGTTTGGTACCTATCCCTTATAATATTGAATAAAATTTTACGTTGTTAGTCAGGTGAAACAAAGTAATTAAAGCCGACCATTGACCGTAAAACACATTATTCACATTAGCACTTCAAACTCCGTGTTACAGGTGAAGCACACAATAGCCAATTAACAACTCGTGGCATAACTGTGACATGAACTTAAGTGTCAAATTAGTTTGCATCCCATTACTTGATTAGGGATATTAGAAAGAAGACCCTCGTACATTACGTATGAACCGTACAGTAAAGTTTATTCGATGGAATTTTGCTCCCTGTGTGCTTGTTTTATCGTCTAGACTAGAAAGGCCGGTATCATGTCTCGTGGGGAATAGGTAGCGGATCGCAAATGTTGTTAGCGGAGCCCCAGACCGTGGCGACGAATGCGGCTATTGTGAGCTTGTTTGAGCTTCTATTACGGCTTATTCACAAGTTTTATATCACTGGACTGGTCTCGTCTCTAACTTTATTTACTCCTTGTTAAACTATTGATTACACTTAGTATGTAGCTAACCTGACAGTAACTGTTAAGGTGTATGTGAATATTGTTCATGTTAACCTTAATACGACTTTTTTCGGGGTGTACATGTTATTCGTGACATAAAACATCAAGTGTTAGTGATTGTAATTCCTTCCCAAAAATGCATACAGACTATATAAGACAAGGTCGTTGAGAACAAAATATTGTTCACGACAGTCGAGATTGCATGGTCACGAAATGCAATTCTGAGAAAGGCACAGGGTTGTTGTTTAACGTTGTATCCACAGTTAGTCATGCGAACTCGAAGAATTGACAGAACTGCCTACTTACTTTCTGTTATTGTTCCCAGTTACGTGTTACTTTAAATTGGTTTTCTTTTTAATTCTTGAGTGGCCTAATGTACGAGCGTGGAGTTTTTTAAGAATGCGTCGATTTTTTGTTCTCCATTGTTCTTTTGTAAAATACTTTGCAGACACTATGACAAAGAGAATAACCTCTTATACTTTACAGCAACAGAACGTTATTTGCTGGGTGTTTGCAATATTTTTTTATTTAATGTTTTTAACTGTCATTGAAATAAAATAATCATATCATCATCTGCCCAATTTTATGTCTGATCGGCGTATTCTATGTGTAATAGAAAAGAACATACCGGATCTGCTAAAGCAAAATGGATTAAGAACAAAATACATACATGAATACACTAATGCACGTATCCTCGAAAGGGTGGGCAGAGGCATATTAAAAATCTAAAATTTGCCAACTATAATTTAACCCAAACCTACTGCTACACACTAATTATATATAAATCAATAAATTAGGAGCCGCTAAGGACGGATAGGAAAAGTTGGATAAACATATAGCTGATGAAGCCTATAGAGCACAAACAATAAGAAGAAAGTAAGAACTTTATTTATTATCTTCTGTTTTATTGCAAGTTATCGATTTGTTTATCGCATTACCATTGTTCAATATAATTTTGTTATTTGCTTACAATATTGATTTATTTTCTTATTGTTTTAATGTGCGATATGAGACGCAAAGATTATAAAACACTATATGGCGGAAGGATAATGTGCAAAAATTTCTACAGATGGCCCTTTACTAGTGATCGGAAAGTTCGACTTGTACTCTGAATCTAACACCGATTGCGGTTGCTACTTGCGTTTGCGGTTCGCCTTGTGGTTTTCGACAGCTATTCGCCACTAACACTATTTATTAAATACACTGTTGTTGAAAATCTTTGGAATTAAAAGTTTCCTACATTTTGATGACCTTAACATGAATTTAATAGAAGCGTACTTGTTTATATTATCATCTGACATGATTTTTAAATCATCACAAGGGTAAAGACTCTTAATTAAAATTGTAAAATGTAGTTTAATTTATACTTTATTTAATGATTTTCGTTTTTATTGTTGTAGCAACTCAAAGATGAACTCGGTGAAGTGGTCGCGGAGCTGGAGGCTCTGGATGGGCAGGAAGAGTGTAAGCAAAACAGTAAAGCCAAGCAGATGAGTATCGGCAGAAAGAAATTCAATATGGACCCGAAAAAAGGTGAGAATAAAAATAAATCAATATATTTTAGAGAAAGTATGACGGGTCCGCTTGGTCCTGCTTGTCTTTGTGTCGTACAAAAACTAGCAGAGTAGCCGTTCGTTTCAATTATTGGAATGGAGAAAGTATGGGCAAAGAAAACTTTTTACACAAATATGTACATAAATATAAACACTAGTTCTTTCTCCCTGGTTAATCGGACACATCGGTACAAGGTTTTCAATACAGCTCGGTAGTGTTATCTGTGTAAGTAACTTCGAGCGCTTGGGAGAAACTATTGACTACCAAAAATGTATGAGTACTAAGTTATCAAAAAGATTTCAACACATTGCTATGAATTTTTATATTAACACTAAAAATAACATACAAGCAACGCTGAAAAGAAATCTGCAAACAATAAAATACTTTTTTTCAGACATTAACATTAGACATTGTTTTCGTTGAGTACAAATGTTTTTTTCAGACATTAACATTAGACATTGTTTTCGTTGAATACAAATGGTCCAGACGGTTTTGTTGTGTTGGCGTACGCATTTTATATGGTAGTTGTGGCTTGTACTTCTTGGCTTAATATCAAGTTTTCTGTATAGCTATAGCTGCTGAACAGTTCTCTCTAGAGAATACTGGCTAAGTACGTAGTACGTAACAAGTGCTTGGTATAATCAATTATTTCATGTATGACATTTTACACAAAACAGTCACATGAAATTAGTAGAATTCTCAGTAGCCACAATGGTATTTAAAGCGGCAGGTGCATCGTTCCCACGGCCGGTCAAACGACATACCTACTCTGCAAATTGTTCTATTCCTGCACTTTACACCTGTCCAACGAACTCGATGTCTGGTAGAATACCAACTTAAATTAGATAAATGAGTTTGATAATTGAGACTCTTTACCTTTTTTAGCTACCGGTCCAATTAATGAGTTAGAACATTTGTTTTTATTAAAAGTAATAAAGGATATAGAATACTTAAAGTTCATTTGATATTGACAATGAACGATCAAAGGGCCTAGGGCAGTTTTACGTATTCCTTGTAATATTAGAAAGTAATTTTAGGAGAGCTCAAAATTAATTATAGATTTTAATAAAAAATGATAATCTTTAGTCTTTTTATTAAATTTTATAAAAGCAGGCATATTTAGAATATACCGCTTACCAATTTGAAATCGCAATAGATTAAGTGTTTGAACGTTTGTCGTGTTTTCTACGGATTGCGTTATGAACGAATCGCGTTTTGAACGAGCAATTCGTTCAAAACGCAATTCTTGGACAATGTCTTGGACAGATTTCGACCTTACATTTCTATTTGGTCATAGTGCGTGTTGGACTGTCGTTAATTAAACTGTTTTATCTTACAATTGCAATAAAATATACATATTATACACATGTATATACAAGCAGAAAGAACTTTCGCTTTGCTGTAACGCATCTTTCTTCTTTTTTTAGGTAATCTTATAATAGAAAATCATTTCAATCGGATTTCAATGTATCGAATTAGATAGACATATCATTTGTCTGTTATTTGAAATCTTATACTTCAGTTGGCTATTACAAAAAATGTAATAAGATCTTGGTTTGACAAATATACACGATAAGATAAATGTGTGTAAGAAATCTCATTTCTTAACATGTTCCGCTATACTTTTGACTTGTCTTATTGCATACCATAAATCTCTTTTAATAAAAATATAGATTGCAATTAAGCGATGTCAAATTACATAGACATGTACAGATTATACTTCTAAAATATTATTATTACATTAGACGTAACACTAACAGTAATCTATGCTGTAATTACAATAGGTAGACTTAATATAGGTTAGATTTCTGCAAGTCACGTTAAAAATTACTGGATCAAGTATACTTCAGACATGCTCATAAATCATCTAAAGCATTAGTGTGTTATGAATAGATTGTATCATACTTTTTACACGATATTTGTAGTTAATTCTGATAGGTATTTCGTATCGTGAAACACAGTATATTATTTCACCTTTTGTTAGTATCTCTTTGAATGTTAATTAGGGCAGCAGTTGTTGACAGTAGCAACTAGCCCGACGAGTGGTTAGATGCAAGGCACTAGTTTTTTCTGAATACATACTTTAAGCTACGCTGACGCTCGAGCACTCCTACTCTCATCAGCGGACTTATATTCTGTAAGTTGGTTTCGTTTGTTTTATTGGTCTAACGATGTCATATAGAAAAGAACGACTTCTACGACTTTCTTATTTCCCAATACTAACTTTGGTTTGATAAAGCAGGTATAGCTAATAAGATAGGAAACTGTTTATTGAACTGTATTAATAGATTTTTGCACGGAAACGTGTTTCATGAGTGATTAATTTATTTGACTTCGAACTATTCAAAATTCTAAATTTAAATCTATGTACTTGGTATAATTAATATTTGTACGTTGAAGGTTAAAATATAGTAGTGTCGTCAGAAACAATTCTGCAGCGACTGCCAAAGATATAAATTTTAGTGTAATGGGCGCCCAATTTGTTTTTCTGTCCAGACTGTCTGACTCCTATTCAGGTAATATGTAGGTCAATCTGATATCGGTTTATAAGTATTAAAGGTTGTATATTTTTAAAAGTGGGTGGAGGGTGTAGATTTTCTAAGGTCTACACTGACTCCTTACTAATTTCAAAAGGAAAAACAGAAATGAAAGAATTTTTATGTTTTACTCACATTCAACTATTACTTATCACTCGGTCTATAGATCAGTTAGTAAAAAAAATGATTTTAATGGATGCGGTTTTACACGACAGCAATAACTTCTTTCTTGTAAATTGGCTCACCTCTACATTTATTGCTGCCTTTACTTCATACATAATCTAATATACAAGAATCAATCTAATATTTGTTCGTATTTTATGCCTGCCGTTCATATTTAAATTTTGCATATACTTTGCCAGGTATACAGAGAAATTATAGGGTACTTTTTGCCAGAATTGCATTTACTTTAGCAAGTTACACTGGTCCATGAAATAAAACAGGCTATTGTATACTGACAGAATTCGGTAACTAGGCTATCTCTGGTTCATATAAAACAACACTAATCTTTTTTTGAACTTTATCCCATTAAACAACTTGGTAGGTTTTATTCAACAAAATGTATTTCAGGTAATATTTTCTGGTGAACATTTATCATGTAATGTATCATTGTACTTTTAACGCCATCAAAATCCAGAGACACAAGGCATTATCATTTTGCAAGAGTCGCTACTGCAGGGTTTAGATACGGCGACTATCTTACATCGATAACACGTAAACATCAATCGCATCAGAGAGGTGTGCTTCATTTGTTTCAGTGAGATGATATCCTAAAAATTAGTCGAGATATCAAGGGTTAAATTTTGCAATCAATTTCATATAAAAATATAATTTGTTTAGTAATGTAATATAATGTATTATAAACATTATTGATTTGTGTAATATGCCACACTGTCGTTTATAATGGTAAAAAGTAGACTATGTTACTCGCTGATAATGTAGCTTTCCATTGGTGAAAGTATTTTTAAAAACGGTTTAGTGCTTTAGGCGTGAAAACGTGTTAACTCACTTTCACATTTATAATGTAAGTATGGATTATTCTGTTGAGTTGCATTACTTGGTCCGAATTTCTCCTGTCGGGACCGAATGGTTATATCTTAGATTGAAAGCTATATTATACTATTATTATTGCAGCCGAATAGTAATTTCACAATATTCGAACCACCACAAACCCGTAACGAATTTTATTATAATTTTGGTAACGATAAACTGTTACGCAGTAAAGCAACAACTTGTGAAACTATTTAACGACCATTAAACAGTTCTTCACCGATTTAATTTTACTAACAATCGCATCAAATGATTAAAGCACATCCTTGAGGTTTAGTAAAAGTGTTTTACATGTATTTACACGTAACGGTTACATTACCTATTTGTTTCTTAGATACATCTAAAAGCAACATCAATGTCGTCCATTGTATAGTGTTGAGGGTGTTTATTGATATTCCTTGATCACCCATTTCTGGTTAGGGGTAGCTTGTCTATCGCGGATATAATCCGTTGTAAAATTAACATTACCACCATTAATTCATCAATCATATTTTCACACTGTAATTGTTACACATATGGATTGTGACGAAATGTAATACAGACCTCGGTTTAGTGTCTAGTCTATACTAGTGATGTGCCGGATCGTTAACAAAGTATACCCGCGGATACGGATCCGAATACGGATATTTGGTGTCAAGATCCGCGGATACGGATACGGATCTTAAGTTTCTTACTCAATCGGAGCCCGTGACCTTGATAGTTGTCGCCACTTGACGCTTTGCCGTTGATATTTAAATATTTCATTATTTTAATAAACTAATACAAAGATGTTTGATTGATCTCATTATAAAGATAGCTCTTTCAGTACCTACGACCGGCCTAGTTGATTTAGTATAGTATGATAAAGGATTGCAATACAAAGGTGCCAAATATTTGTTTTAAGAAATAAAAAGTAATCTGAACAGAATTCAATAGTTTTTCATAGCTACCTAATAACCATTATTCAGGGTTATTTAAAATTTACTGAAAACCTCTGAAGTGCATATTAGTAACATTATAAACAACAACTTTTCTTCTGGACTAACACCGAAAACGAAAGAAAAGAAAGTGTTTCTCCATACAAACTAACAACATTTGATTGGTCATTTGAATGGAGGACCAATTTTTTTTCATTTTGACCTTGGCCAGAAAAAAAAGTTACTGTTTATAGTGTTACAAACACATACTTAAGAGTTTTATAGTGAATACAAAATCACCAATATAGAATTTCATCTATGTAATATGTATTGAAAGATCCGCCAAAAAAGTCACGGATACGGATACGGTTACGGATCTCTCTTCCCCCTTGGATATCCGCGGATACGGATACGGATACGGATATCCGGCACATCACTAGTCTATACATATGAAACTTTGATTGTTTACTGTACTAATAGATCATAGTACGGGGAAATAAAAAAAAGTAATAGAAAGCAACAACGGTTACGGACTAGATATTATACGATTGTCCTTAGATGGGCATATTGCATAAGTGAAGTCTTATTCTAATAGGGAATATGCACGTGACACCAAAATCGACAAAATATTTTTATTTGTAATTTTTATTGCTAAAAAAAGATACCCATACAATTATTTTTGAAATTTATTATAATTTAATTGTGAAATTTAATCATCAAAAATTGTCTGTTTTAAGATTCCCTCGCAAATTTCTAAAACGCAACGCTATTGGTTGAATAAAACGTGACGTCAACCTACACTGTCAAGAGTGTCAACAAGTTGTGTGTATTTGTAATATTTGGTTTCTGGTGATTATTTGTTTCATTTTAAGTTAATAACTAATACGTTTTCAGTGTTAAATTATTAAATTCCCGTGTAGAAAGACCCAACGAAGACTCAAGACTGAATAGGGGTGGTGACACTTTGTATTCTTAATCCGTCACCACACGGATGATGTCTGCATTATGTGCATAAATTCCTAATGCAGATTATGTAAATGCGACTCTTATGGTTTATTTTCCCCCGAGAAAAAAATCGACGTTCTGACTTTGTTTTGAATGAGCTGGCTCATAATCTAGCGCCATAAATGTATGGTTTAGAAAATAGAACGTTACCCTTGTGGAAAACTGGGCTGTGACTGACAGGCATCTATTATCATTTATCATGTTGTTTATCGTCATTATTGCATATCAAGTTACTTGTGACTTATGTCTATTTGATTAGCCATTACGCTGACAGATTATCATTTTTCTGTAAACGAGTTTGTTTTGTGGTAATAGATAACATAAAACTAGATAATACATTAACAACGACGCAATGACCCGAGCAGTTTAAACAAAGTCAACATTACATTGTGTTGACAATTTAATCTGTCGACAGGTAATTTCAGAACGCGTAAAAGATAAGCTGTCACTTTACCAATAATGTTTGTCCTAATACTTACATAATGACAGGAATTAAAAAGGACTAGGTTTAAAGCATTTATGTTTAAGTTGCTTTAGGATTAACTAAACCGAAAAATTTCACGGACGGAAGAGGACCGGCAGTTCTCAGGTATCGGTTTCTCTTTTTATCGGACGTTTTACTAAAGACATTAAGGACAAAAGATATTTCAGAAAATATAGTCTACAAAATCATAGAAATATCATTTGTGCAGTGGTTTGAGGAATTGCCAGGCAATTTCCAACTTTTCTTAGAAATAACGTTGTTTTCGTGAAAAACTTTCGGGTACATTTACAACAGAACTGAAGTCTGAAACTGACGACCCACGCAGATTACCCTCGTTGAAGTTACGGCTCAGTGTGGAGGCGGGTGACGTCATCAAAAGACGTAAACAATTTGTCTTTTGTACGTATTTTTATTATTAATGTGACGTCATTTATATTTCACTACAAGAATAACACTTCAAATTTTCCGGTAAAAAGAATTGATCAAAACCGAATATACGTCCATTAGATAAGTAATTAGCACCGTTATTTGCATACGTTATCATTATCAAGTGGGATTCACCATTTCAGCCTAATAAGGCGTGTTTATTTTAAACCGCGGAATAGCTCGATTTCACATAGATTAAATATTATGTTAACCACGGCTGTGTAAGACCTTTTTAAATAGATGCAGCTGAGATTACAATATCTACCTACCCACGAACACACACACCAAAAATATAAACACTTCCTTATAGCTTGATAAGGTTATAACAAAAGAACAACATTATCCAACACCAATAGGATTTAAGTAAAAAATATTGATCTGTGTTTCATGGGTAATGAGAATCAAAAAGCGACTTTGTAATGCTCTTGGAAATCAATTTTTTTATATATGTTCGTATGTATCAAAACAAAAATGTTCTATGTGGTCGCTAAAGGTAATGTAACATTAGCATTGTTTGAACAGCAGTAGCAATGCATGGCTCCTATAATTGTTGCAACTTTAAATGGGTAGGGGCCAAGACGTTCACTAGACGCTTTCACAAGAATACTGTCACCGCATATCGACACGTAGAACCGCTCGTCGAAGTTTTCAGACGTTTTCTGTTCTAATATACTTAAAGATGTATTATTGTGCAATTTATATTTAACAAACGAAGAAAAATGCAGCGGGAATTGAAATTGTGGAAGGAAATTCATATATTATGGTTTCGATATCGTTTAGGAATTCGAGTTTTATAAATGTTTGTCAAGAGGTCTCCCAAGGCTCTTTTTCTTTTCAAGGTTCTGTTACAAACATATAGTTTGACAGTTTTTTTGTAACATATATGAATAAATAACAAAGTAAAAGGCATTTACGACGTGTAAATGCCTTTTACTATTTTCTTTAACCTCTTTAGGGAGGTCTTTATATATATGTGTATGTGTGTTGGTTGTCTGTCATAGGATAAAAGACGAACGGAGACTGCTTTCGCCGTGTGGGAAACAGTTTATTACTTTCCTACATTCAATAACACACACGATCTAAATTTTGAACTTTTACTATTTTCTCTTTATAGAACATCCTGCTTCCAATTATCATGCATTAACATGTATATTATTTTTTCATTTTAGGAATCGAATATCTTTACGAAAACGGCCTACTACAACGAACACCAGAAGATGTAGCACAATTTCTACACAAAGGCGAAGGCCTGAGTAAAACTGCGATAGGCGACTACCTCGGCGAACGTTCAGAATTCAATGAAGCAGTTCTCAAAGCGTTTGTCGAATTACACGACTTCACGGATTTAATACTAGTTCAAGCGCTGAGGTAAGGAGTATTCTATTGATTCCAAAAGGGTAAGGGAGGTTAATTTCGTTTACCAATGAAGCTTTCTGGAAATAATTAAGTCTCGACGTTACATGAAGACGTTTAAATAAACACAATTTACGTCTAATTATTCTCTACTACTAAATATCTACTTTAGATTATCAACTTTTCCACTGATCTAGTTTCATTATTTGCGTTCTGTTTTTTCGTAGGAAATAATTTTTATAGTTAAAAACAAGAAACTAAATATTCAGCAGGAAGTTTGACTATCCTAAATGCTTTCACGTTGTCAAATATTAAAGTTAATATCCTCAGTATGTATCTTCGATATCAAATAAAAGTATTATAAATATTTATTTTCGGGTAGTGTAAATATATAATCATGTTACACATACGTACATAAACAAAGGCATACATTTCTGGCAATTGTAACGAGTAAATTCTCGAGCTTCAACAAGAAATTACATGCATATTTACAGTTGTTTTAAACAACATTTAACTCAATCTTCTTAATTATTGTTTTAAAATTTATTTATCTGATCATGATTTCTTACTTTAGCATTTGTTTACTTGGCAACGTATTCAAACGACAAAGACTAGATGTTCTGTAAATAGTTAAACGTAAAACACATGCTCCGGTTGCATTGAAGAATGTTTAACTTGGCAAACAATGACCGCAATTTGCGATAAGGTCATTGTACTTTATCTAGACAAATACGTCTTATTATATAAAAAGTCTATATAGATACTAATATACTGTAGCTAAGTAAGAGAAGATTAGAATAATGAATCGCCACTTAATATTTTTACTAAAATTACAGACAATTTTTATGGAGTTTCCGTCTACCGGGCGAAGCTCAGAAGATTGATCGAATGATGGAGTGTTTCGCACAGAGATATTGCCAGCTAAATCCAGATATCTTTACAAATGCAGACACGTGCTATGTACTAAGTTTTGCGATAATAATGTTGAACACATCACTTCACAACCCCAGCGTAAAAGACAAGCCGTTGCCTGAACAGTTCGTCGCAATGAACCGAGGGATCAACAATGGAGGTGATCTACCGCAGGAGTTACTTTTAGTAAGTTATTGCGCTGCATTTATCTCATACTCATACATCTCTTAACTTTTTAATTAAGTTTCTTCTGTTGTTTCTGACCAACTGAGCTAGGTTTAAATATGAGTTTTCACGAGCGTGTTTTCTAAATATTATAGTATTATTTACTAGTACTAATAATATAATCACTCGAGAATAAATGCAAATATTAACCAAGATCATAATAATGAGTAATTCAGTTTATGTTGAAAAATATTAATATAAATAAATCTCCCTCCTACTAACTATATAGTGGATGATATTTTAATTGGTCTAAGAATTTAAATAAGCAGTCGAGTTTTATAGGCGTTTTAATCTGGGCCAAATCGGGGGAAACCCGGATGCATGGCTACCCTAGTTACTAGCAACATTTAGGTCATCTCCGTGCTACTAGACCTAAAATAACCAATTTCCACGCGAGGTCAATGTCGCATATATTATTTACAAGTATTTGAGCTCCATGAAACGTGGTTTACCTCTCTTTTATTAATAAACCCGTGTTTATTTCGATAGGTAGATCGTGTGTTATTCACTGCCAAGTAACTATAGTATTGTTGAGTATACTTGATGTCGCGCATCTTTTTCCCGAAAGATTCGAATAAAAGGTTTATTGTTCCTGGGAATCTGTAGCCATGCTAGTTACCTTTCCTGGCAAGGTTCATGCAGGTTGTATATATTTTGTACGGCTTACCGTATGAACTGATTGAATACTGTAATCTGATTGAAGTGCATTAGTTCATGTTTATCATGTAATTCAATGTCACTATACTTTAATAATAAATATACTAATAAAAAAACGAGACTGTGTGGCCAGATCGCACCCCTAACTTGATAAACACATCTATAAACGGCTGTATTAAGGTCTAGGTTAGCATAAAATTCGTTTAATTAACCTTCAATTTTTAATCCTTATTTTTAAGCTTCCCAGTGTCTAGTTAAGTAATTTAAAAATATGAACTAATTCATTCATTTATTGAAATTCAATTATATTTAGTAGGTGATTGTGCTTATTCATAATAAAAAAAAAATCATTTTCAATTGTAAAGTAAAATTAGGGGGTGCGTGTCTGTGACATATTATTTCATTTTCCTTTATCTACATAGAAGTAACTGCACCAGTATAAATAATTAATTAATGCAACACATTAAGGGCCACATTAGAGTTAATTAGACGTCAAACAAGTCGTTTGTTTAATTAAAATGCAGTTACAAAAAAAAACCTGGTTCCGTGGTGTCACTTTTATGATAAGCTTTTGCTCGTGGCTCAGCGGTAAAAAGTATATTGTACTAGGGGATAATATACCTTTCTAACAGTAAAAGAAGATTCCTAAATCGGATTAGTAGTACCGGAGATTACCCCGAACATTCAAACTTACAAAGTTTACCTCTTCATAATATTATAATTATTTAAAATTTATTTTATCCATTAAACAGCTCGTTCGATTTTGTTGTTACCTTTTTTCTTGCAAACAACTTAAGATATAGGCAATCATTTTTTTTTTTTGGTCAGATTGTTGAATAATTTTCTTTTTTGTATAGTAAGTAGTAGTAGTACATGAAGTTTCTATTGGCACCAGTGATTGCCTATCATTAGGATAGGCAATCACTAGTGCCAATAGAAACTTCTTAGTCACTTAACCGCTAGCTCCGTCTCAATATTTTTTAAATTGTTTTTAAACACAATTATCTGACAAATAATTGATTTGTTTCCTTCTTAAATAAAACTTTTACCAATTATTAAATTTGTACAACATTAAAGTTAATTAAAATGTACTTTTGTGCTGGTATCAATTAGAAAGCTATGTGAATGCAATAATAGATGATGTTCTTGGGATTTCCATTTGAATTCGAAAGCTGTATGAAGAACAAATTGCATGATCGTTTATTGTATATACTATCTTTTAAGATGATGATTTTTATGTAATAATTTAAACTGTTGCGTATATTTAGCCATGTTGAGTGTATACCAAAGTACATTTCAGCAAAAACATAATAGTCTGTTGGTTATAAAAAGCTGTTTTTATAGTTTCTGTAAAAACGATTTAGTACAAGTAATTATATTCGGATTAAGACGGATGTTTAAGAGTATCGTCGTCTAATAAATCTTCACCTTTTCATAATAAGTCACGCCAGCAGCTTGTTCTATAAAAAAAAACGAGTGTGCTTTAGACCCCACGACTGAAGTAAATCTTCTTGGCTATGAGAGAAAGAGAGTAAGAAAATGAGTGCTCGCACCTCTCTCTCTTGTCCCTACGGTGATATACGAAACGTAACTCACTCTCTTTATCATTAACTTATATCTGCCTCTCAACTTCCGTTCGCCTCTCCCGATCACACTTTTCGTAACATCTCGTCACGCATTCACCAGCTTACTCCCCAAGTCAAGCATGCGTAACGGAGTTTTACTTCAATAATAATTTAACATAAACTTGTTTTCTTTAAACAAAATATTTATAATCTGTAATGGTAATATCACGTATTGACGTAAACAACATAAGAAAATGAGATCGTTAGTAACCTTATCTTAGTGGCAACAACGCAATAAAAACAAGTATCCTAATGTTACAGTTAAACGTAAGTCTCTTTTCGAACTGGTGGTTACATTCATCTCCAAATTCTACAAAGGTATTCTTAAATAGGAATATTATGATCGTTAAAGCCTATAAACAACTTCACGGATTTCTAGACTATTTAAAAAGTGGACTGGTATTAACAGTATTTTTTTTCAAATTTCAGTCATTGTACGAGTCGATAAAAACGGAGCCCTTCAAGATTCCCGAGGACGACGGAAACGATCTCATGCATACTTTCTTCAATCCTGATAAAGAAGGATGGCTGTGGAAACAGGGTGGAAGGTATATTTGTTTTTATTATTTCATTGTTTGCATTCTAAATTTGATTCACTATTTTCATTAGGAATTCATACTATTATTATTCAAGAAACAAAACAAAATAGATATGAATATAAATTTTTATAACGAAACATACACCCTTTCAAGTAATATATACTTATTAATGTGAACATGAGTTTGTTGGTTTGTTATGCTTTCACTCCTATACCGATTTTAAAAGATTCTTCACGTATAGAAAGGTACATTATCAGCAAGTAACATATGACATGCACGCGACGGCGCCGCATTCTAATGCTAGTGCAAAAATATATCGAGGACTGAATTTAGTTTTTTGCCTAATCAGAATGACTCGTATTATTATCGTGATTACGTATACGCATGCAGCAGTGAGGTTACTGGAGCTCCATACCTGCCCTCTCTGTAATTCCTGGGCTCATAGGTGGCAAGGCACTTGTGACTCTTGAGTTGCAGGTGCGCATGGGTAGCGGAAGTCACTTACCATCAGTTTCATCTTCACTTACCATCAGTCTTCGTCTGCCCCTATACTATAAAAAACCTAAATAGCAATATACAATTCCACCAGTATCAGTAACACAAAAGCTCTGGTATTAACATATTGTAGTCAATGACAAAAGTTAATGATCAAAAAAGGAATGTCAAAACTACTTGGAAGAAATCTAGCTAGTCCTACAATGTTCAACAACGAAGTAATTAAATGAAGTACTCATGAATTAGCTAATTGGACTGCCACCAAAAGTTGATGATCAAAGACGTTTCAAAATATTTAGCTGCTTGAACTGTTTTGGTACATTGTAGCAAGATGTGCTCCAAATATCGATCAGCGAGTAGTTTTAACATTTAGTTTTTGACCATCATCATCATCACTTTTTTCGTTGACTGTACATATTAACAAAGTTTTAAATGAATTAAAAGTTTTAAATTAAAAGCTGAAGCTTTTTGTTTGTACGCTGCTGTCACTATTGAATAAAAACGAATATGAAATTAAACTGCACTTAAATAAATATCAAATAGGGCAGCAATTAGTACAAATTATGTCCTGTTACTCGGTTCTAAACTTGTTTAGTTCTTTACCTTTAAATATGACAGAAAAAGGTCGGTATGTGATTCATTGCTTATACACGACGATAATGATTAATTGTTGTTTATGTAAAGCTGTGAACTTTAACTCGCTAGTTATTGCGCACAAGATAATTCTTTGACTTCCTACGTACACATTACAAAAATTATGACCGAGAACAACTATAAATAAACATAAGGCATTTGAATAACTACGCCTAATAGTTGTTTCAGAATGTCCGACTAATTGGTAAATAAATAAGTATATTGTTTATACCTACGTAAATGTTTTATACATTCTATATATGTTTTATATATTCTTCATTTCATTATAACTCTCTTTATAAGTAATCTAATTAAAATCGGATTGTAGCCTACTTGCTACGAAAAATTGTAACTCAACAACTAACGCACTCCGTTACATAATAAAATTCTAGTAATAAAAATTGTAGTGTAATTAATTTTAAAATACATAGTAGCATAAATTATAGTATTAATAGTAGCATATAGTATTACCCAGGTTTACGCTATCGTTCACTATACAATACAAACAGTAGTAAACCAACCACAGTTTTAACACTAATATATTATAAAATAAAATGTAAGTAATACTTGCCTCTTTTTTTTTTACAAAGAGAAATCCTGGATAATCCCGACGCTTAAACTGTTTATAATGAAGATATTAATATTGCATGTGGTATTTTCCATTTTTTCTTGGTTTGATTATGATCATGAATAGGTATTAGTATGATGTCACTCCGCATTTTTGCTCCGTGATATAACGAGTCAAATCAATTTGAGACTTCTCAATATTGAATTGAAACAAAATAACTACTTTATTGTATACTTCACAAAAAACAGAACGGAACGAATTTGTTCAAAGCACAATACGAGCTAGTCAGTTTAAAAAAATCGACCACATTGTGGTAAAATAAAACCGAATTTAATCTATTGTATGGCGAAAAGTTGTATCCAACTAAAATTTATTTGTATTTTCTGTTGCAGGTACAAGTCGTGGAAGAGACGGTGGTTTATTTTGAATGACAACTGCCTGTACTACTTCGAATACACGACGGATAAAGAACCAAGGGGCATCATTCCATTAGAGAATATTTCTGTAAGTATCTTTCATGTTTACTAGCTTTTTATACGTGATATATACAAAGAGTGGAGTGACAGGTGTCATGTCCCTCCAACACAAAAGTAGGATCCTCCGACCAGACGAGGTGATCATTGTGAGAATTGTTAATATCACGATACAGGATTAGGAGTTACTTCGTAGTTCGGTGTGTCTTCGATAGACGGCGCTGTAGTATGGTTCTTTGTTTATTCGTATGTGGAAGTCGCCACAAAAAGTGTAATTTTATCGGATTTTACTAAATAAATAATACAACAAATTTTTTTTTCCTTATTGTGTGTGTCATGGTAAAACACAATATCTGTTGTCAACTGTATTATAAGGAAAATGCCTATAGAGGGAGGACACAGAAACTGTGACTCAACATGACTAATTTGGTCCCTTATTATTGGAGCATGTATTTTAATTCCAAATGGTTCGGATGAAAGATAACTTCTAAGCACAATGTTACTTGATTAAACTAAATTAAATGCCAACAAGGTTTAATATGCAGCCGCTAACAAAATTGTATTAGTGCCCACCAAATAGTGCGAATGAGAAGTAAACTATATGGCTTTGTTATCTATAGAAAAAATACAAGTGTGGGGTTATATAATATAGGCTGTCGCAGCGTAAGTGGCTTCTTTAATAGTAATAATAATAATATTTACTTGACTTTGTCCGTAAATGTCACAATATACGACCAGCGAAAGCTGAGAAAGAACAAATTTAACATAATAATAATATTTTTATTGAATAAAGTTAACCATACAATAAGCAGAAAATTACGCAATGACTACATTTAACAATAATAAGTTGTAATGAGTAGTATGGCATTCAATTATATAAGCCCCCTGATCCTCAAACTAGGATTTCTTGTTTTTTGAGAATCAGTGGTTCCGCCCAGCGCAATGCATTATAGGTAAACTTAAATTATTCTACATGAAAATGTAGCATGGTTAGGTTGGGCAATGAAATAGGTCATATATGCGTATGTATATGTGTTGTGTATATGTTTAAGGTACTAACCACAGTTGTAATTTCTAATGCCGGGATTTCTATATATGTACGTAGACACAAAAGAGTAGACAATATAAAAATATGTATATGAAACACATTCTACATACTCTAAGAGTGATTTCAAATTAAGGAAAACCGGAAGATCTAAGGCTCAGTGATTCGGTAAATACATACAAACTGTTAATCACGAGGAGTAAAGTTGAGTTGTTAAGGTAAACAGCTACAAACTGTGATTAATACACTTTAGCCTCATTATTGTGGTCTATACAGGACGGTGTATTTTAAATGTATTTTGGATTTGTATACTGGCTATAGTAGTACTACTACTACTGCTATTACTATAATAAACAAACTTCTCCCCCTTCGCAGTGGCACATTATGGTTGCATTGGTGAGAAATGAGTAACAAAACTGATGCTAAAAATAGATAAAAATAATATTTCTTATTCCTGCTGAAGGAATGAATAATGAAGCAAAAGGGTAGTTTCTTTTGGTTAAAATAAATTGTTAACAGCTCTCTTAAATTAATAATCACATAAGAGTGTAAAAAATCTTGTTTGTTACCATTTTCAAGTTTCTTATCATGTTTAAATTGTTAAAACAGATGTTGAGATTTCAATGTTTTGTCTATAGCTAAGAATGACGTCATAGTCATTATTTCATACTTTCTAGAGGACAAAACGCTACAAATACAAAGTATTTACACAGAACACCTTTACACACAACTCTTTTAACCACATTGCTCTTTTAACCACAGATGTTGAGATTTCAATGTTTTGTCTATAGCTAAGAATGACGTCATAGTCATTATTTCATACTTTCTAGAGGACAAAACGCTACAAATACAAAGTATTTACACAGAACACCTTTACACACAACTCTTTTAACCACATTGCGCTTCAATTCTAAACTGGCTTAGACACTAAATAAAGTAGAATCTTGACTTACAAATAGATAGGTTATAGTTCAAAGTATTGAATTTATTTTTATTAGATTTCTTTTTAATGCTGTCAGTATGGCCAGGTCAAAATAGATATAGCAATAACATTATGTTTCAGGTTCGTTCGGCGAGTGATAGACAAAGGCCATATTGTCTGGAACTGTATGCGAGTGGTGGCGCTGATCTCATTAAAGCCTGCAAGACAGACTCTGAAGGGAAGGTTGTAGAAGGAAAACACACTGTGTACAGGTATGTGTCATTTACTTAGTCTTACTTACTTATAACAAATCAACTACCTATTATGTACAAAACGAAAGTTGCAATTAAGAATATGAGGTTCAGAATAGTAAACTTTTCTAAACACTAGATAACATCTACGATGTCATTTGTTGCCAATTGGCGAGCTCTGTTAACTAATCACGGTTCTATTAGGCATTAGTTTCTTGTCCTACTATTCGTTATAAATGTGTGTTCGTTTTATCCTGTCCTATGTAGTTTTTTAAAGTATATTCCAAAGTTTTGAGGACCAGATTACATTAATGTTATAATATTTTTAAAAGACTAGTTGACAATTTAAGTGATGCTTGTAGCGCCTAAACTATTACATTTTATTAAGGAAATATACAACAACAAACATAAACTAAACTAAATATAAACAATAACAACGGAGATCGAGCTAAGCATTAGGTTTATGTTAGTTTATAGTAGGCGTGAATAAATAATACAGAGAGACTTCTACATATATTTTTATTTTTTAAGTTTTTTTTTTTAAATTGCGATTGCTTAAGAGAGTTAGGGCTCGTGTAGTGGCGCAACCAAAGTCGCGCGACATCGGTTGCATGGTGCACGGGGCGTTAGTCGAGTACTAATTTTGTTCAAATGTTATTCATATGTCTTTACAGGATGTCGGCAGCAACAGTAGAAGAACGAGACGAATGGATCGAATGTCTCCGTCGGTCAATCAGTCACAATCCATTCTACGATATGTTAGCACAACGCAAGAAAAAAGCGCAGCACAATGTGCATTCTAGTTCACATTAGCCCACGGGGATATCGTACTTCGAGGCATCTATATATTAAGAGTATGGACTCCAGTTCAAGACAGAGAGAGAGAGTGAGGCTTTTCAACACCGCCTTGTTTAGTAAATAATATACTGCAGTCCATGAAACTGACGAAATGACTGTGATTGCGGCAACTTGAGTGTAGGATTCGTCCTAAGTTAATATTGATTGTCAATTCGAATGTGATGTGCCGTACAGAATGATGTTCTGATATCTCGGGGATGTTTGGTATAAAAACATCCAACATTAAATCAATCCAAGTGCAATTGAACTACATCTAACCACCTCATTTAAATGAGCCTTAATTTAAAAAATACGGTTTCTACAGCTACCTAATACTACAAATAAGTGATATTTGTTCCCTTTGGGGATATAGTCAGATTTGTTTAATTTTTAACATTGACATTAAAATGTAATTTACTGTAGAGAAATGCAAAGATTTAAAGATCGCCAGAGTGAGATGAGGGATAGATAATATTTGATATAGTAACATCTGATAAAACTAGTTGGGGTAAAGTCACTATATTGTTATTTTGTGTCAAAGTCTATGTGAACTTAACCCCTTTGTAGCGTCCGTCAAAAGTCCGCAAGCGACTTGACAATAGCCAGTAGTCATAACTCCAATGTATATGTGATATTAAGCCATGATAACGACGAAGGGAATGTATATTGTGTTGTACATATCAAACACAACAATTTATTTACGCATCATTTCATGGTTGTCGGTCCATGTATATAAACAAAGGAAAGACTGAAACATGTGCTTTTTAAAGATCGCCCATTCTTAAAAGGAACTTCTTTTCAACTGATAACTGTACAGTTTACGGAACTAATTTATGTTTTGTTGGAAACTATTTTAATACCTTACGGTATTAAGAAGAGTTGACTATAAAAATTTATACATGGTAATTGTTTAAGAAGAAGAAAGTGAGTTCAATTATATCTTTTCATATTCAATTGTTACCTTTACTGCGAGAATCCAAAATCGATGGAAAACTGAAATGTATTTCAAAGTTTCCGAAAGTTAATAGTTTACGTAGTAGGATCTGGATCTACCAATAGTCCTATAGCATGAGCTAATGAGATCACTCATCAAAAACGTAAACTGAAAAGAAATTGTACAAAGAGTGCAAAAATACGGTTTTGTAGTATTTAGAAATTGTGCAAAAATGATCAGTTTAAGTTCCTGCTTCAAGATCGATTTTAAACAAGTACTGCCAAAATGGTAATATTTTGCATAAAGTTTATATTGTTTTTAACATTTATTGAATGTTAGAACAGTTATTTTATCAACGTCGCTTCTCAGCATTGACAATAAGTTTTATTTATCTGTTCGGCAGTTTTGTGTCGAACTGTAGATTGGTAGGAGGATGGCGGAATTGTATTCAATGAAAGTATTACTTTAAATAATTGTAATGTAACATATGTGAGAGTATGTAAAGTAATACATGTTTAAATAATTTTAGTGTTAGTTTTATTGTGTGGCAGCCATTGGTGTTTCATTTATGAACGAGTGGATGATTATTTGAGTGTGGATCGACAATAGTCCTAACATCAAATTTTTTAAACACTTAAACAAAAACGTTTCTCATTTAAATACCCTGTTTGTTAATTTATTGTTTGCATAGGTTTCTTTCCGAAATTTATAATTTAAATCACTATCATATCAAAATTTACGCGACATTCTGAAAACCGTTTAGAATTCCGTTAAAATGAAATATTGATATTTATAATAATAGTTTTTTTCACAAAGCTATGGATTTATTCGTTGATGACATTCTATTTAGTTCATCAAACATTATTAGTTAACATTCCTTTCCTTTAATCTGATTAAAATTATCTAGAGAATCTAAGTTTTCATTATATATTTGATATGTAATTAGCTGTCAGATTTGCTTTACAACTGTCTTGTAAATATTTCCAGCACATATTAATTTCTATTTCATTAAGTATTTGTTAATTGATTCAGATTTCCTTTGGTTTTTAGAATTGTATAAATTATAAAAGATCTTGTGATCTTATTTATAATATTTCTCCTGTACTATATAATTATGTTATTATAGAAATGGTAAAATGATCGTCCGCAATATTTTTACTTCTTACAAGTAAGTAGGTATAATTACATTACAACGCCATTATTTATTTCGATCGTTTTACCTAAAATAGTTTTATAAGGTTCGGAGAAACGATTTTTTTTAGCAAAAGGTTATTCAAAAAAATATTAATTAGAGTTGGAGAATGAATGGGCGTAGTAAATATTGTTTTGTAATTATTGTTTATGGAATGGTGCCTAAAATTGATCTGCAACTAGTTAAGCTTATTAGCGTTAGTGTATTTACTTCAGTATGCTGTACATACGCTTTAGAAAAGTTAATTTATCAATGTAATGTTTTATATGACATCGGATATGTGCATAATAATGGTGTTGTAAATAATTTTGTAAGAAAATGGATATACATAAATATGTTTATTTACTGCCTCGTTTTTTTTTTATTAATCTAATCCATGGACGTATAAAAAAAGTCGGACGGAACTAGTCGCTAACACAAAACTGAGGCACCGTAATGGCGGCAGCTCTGTGTGTGAATGAATTTTGGGGCTACCAAGTTACCCAAATTTATGCCCTAAAAACACAGTCAATTAATAAAAATATTTTATTTGATCGAATTTTACTGTTTAAGACAAACAACGTAAAAGACATTATTTAAAAAAGGCAGCACTTAAGACACTATAGTTAAACCGCCGTAAGCTTGGCCCTCCCGATGGTTTGCGGGACGCGGGGCGGGCTGATGCGCTCGTCTATACATGACACGATGTACTAACTCGATATCGTCAGATTTATTTGTTTGAGATTTAATCTACACACGATGTAATAAAAATCGAATTTATTTCCATGTATTATAATGTCAGTGTATGTAAGTTTTTATGATTAATTGTAAAATTTAATACTGTAAAATAATTTTAATAAAATCACCTTATCTTCATCATGTAAATTATATTCAGATACAATTTAAAAATTAAGTAAAATAATAAATATTCTATATTAGAACTAGAACAGTAGAACCTCTGTAAGCCGAACTTCAAGTTTTTAAATCTTTTTGTGACGCAGAGTCGGCAGATTATCCATGTTGCAAAATAATTCCGTGTGTAGCAGTCTTAAGGAAAATAACACGCACAGCCATGCTTTTACGTCAGTCACTGCCGGCGGACAGCGACGCACTAGCTAATTGGTTGAATGCACCCCCGCCCCGTGTCCCCCAAACCATCAGGAGGGCCAAGCTTACGGCGGTTTAACTATAAATGCTGTCATTTTTTAAAAATAATGTCTTTTACTTTGAGAGTTTCTTGAAAGGACACCGCAGGTCTCCATCCATTATTTTATTTGAAGTGAAATGGTATTTAAGTATCAAAAATGCCTAAAACACTTGAGACTTTATTCTTGACTATTCTCATAACAAAATTACTAGCGAAAGAAGTCAAGGAAAAAGATATTGGATTTTGAAAGTTTCGAGGTTAATGACAGACATATTGTCAATTTTTTGTTTAAAACTAGATGGCGTTGTGTGTCAGATATCCGAAAATATTATTATTCCTCATCATCAACAGCCTTTAATAGTCCACTGCTGGTCATAAGCCTCTCCTGAGAAAGGAGGTTTTGGCCTACTATACCACGCTGGCCAGACGGGTTGGTAAAGGGTTTGCGTCAAGTTTTCCTTCTCTCTGCAGTGCTGTTGTCCTGCTTAGTTTTTTTCCTTAGTCGGCTTTTACGACACCCACGGGATGAATAGGGGTGGTGACACTCTGTATTCTTAATCCGTCACCACACGGACCATTATTCCTCATGAACAACCCTATTTTGATATTGAAAGTGCCAGCCGACTCTCTAAAAGGGTGGAGGTAATTTTACCAACACATGGTAAAACAATTGAAAAAGTCTTCGATCACCAAACAGGTGGAATATTAGCTATAAATAAATAAATCAATACTAAATAAATTAATAATAATAATTCGAAGAGTTGCACTTCAATACACATTTACACATAGCACAAGCAATTTATTTATTTAGTTATTGGACAGCTAGTAGTTGTTACATTATTTACTAAAATCTAAAGCAGGCATCTATTATATTGAGATTAATGCACAACATTTAAAGGCGTCACATCATGCATAATAGAGTAACACTATATGAAATTAAAAAAAGAAAACATAACATATATGCGAGTTTAACACTAAATTAAACAAAAATAAAACGAAACAATTTCCGTGTAAGCAATGGTCATGTAAATCTTGCGTGTTAGTGTCAAACGACAACACAGGTGAGTGCGGTATTCGACAGGATCTAAACGACGACGTATCGACATTTTGAAAATATCGATGTATGTCTATTTATGTGCCGTTATCAACGCATTATCGTTGATAACGGCACATAATCTTTTTCTTATCACACAGTGCAGTTTATATTTAAGACTTATACAACACATGGAGATGTAATGATAAATCAAAGAAAAAATATTGATTAAGTTTACTGTGAGTCAATTCTTTCCTCTAATTTCGAGATGTGGTGAAACCGAATCGTTAAATACTTTTCAGCTACATATCTATTAAGACTTATTTTCTTTATGTTCTAGTCCGACGAAAGTATGTTCAGATTATAAGTTTACAAAATGCTTTCATTGCCAACAAACTTTTCTAGAATTTTTGTGAGAATATGTTTGTGTTGTCTACTTTCACCGTTACAATTTCTAATTATTTGAATCCAATCATTTCTCCATACTCCATTTTCCTTAGAAAATGTAGTAAAAGAATATGAAATAGTACACCTTTTGGTTTTTTTTTTGCCCGTGCGGAAATCCCCTCGGATACCACATATCGGTGGCATGTCGGACTCGAACCGACTAAAACCGCACGCCGTCTTGGATACTAATAGCCGGGGAACCAGGTATACCCTAGAAAGGAAGTCCCTGGTGCCCCGACATACC